AAAAGAGCCTCTGACAAAATTCAACATTCCTTCTTGATAAAAGCCCTGAAGAAACAAGGAATAGAAGGATCATATCTCAATGTAATAAAGACTATATAACACAAACCAATAGCCAACATTATACTGAATGGGGAAAAGCAGAAAGCATTTCCTCTAATAACAGGAATGAGACAAGGGTACCACTTTTACAACTCTTTTAGTTTTTTTTGGTGGGACTGGGGTTTGAACTTGGGGTTTCATGCTTGCAAAGCAGGCACTCTACTGCTTGAGCCATACCTTTGGTACATTTTACTCTGGTTATTTGAAGATGGGGTATCACACAGTATTTGCCCAGGCTGGCCTCGACTCTCAACACTACAGATCCCAGCCTCCCAAGTAGCTAGGATTATAGGCATGAGCCATTGGCTCCTGGCCACTTTCACTAGTCTTATTAATGCAGTGCTTGAATTCTAAGCCAGATCAATGAGAGAGAGAGAAAGAAGAGAGAGAAAGACAGAGAGAGAGAAGGGATATAAACAGGGAAGGAAGAAGTCAAATTATCCCTATTTGCAGATGATTTGATCCTATACTAAGGGAACCAAAAATCTTTACCAGAAGACTCTTTGATCTGATAAACACTTTCAGCAAAGTAGCAGGATACAAAATCAACATACAAAAATCAATAACCTTTCTATATACTAATAACAAACATGCTGAGAAAGAAATTGGGAAAACAATACCATCCACAATAGCCTCAAGCAAACAAACAAATAAATGAACAAATAAATCAAAACCCAAAAACCTAGGAATAAACCTAGGTGAAAGATGCCTGTACTGAAAACTATAAAAACACTGAAGAAAGAAACTAAAGAAGGGACTGGGTGTGGTGACACATGCCTGTAATCCCAGGTACATGGGAGGAAGAGATGGGAGGACTGAAGTTTGAATGCAGTCAGCCTGGGCAAAAAGATAGTGAGACCCTATCTCAAAATAAAATAAAATAAATGCTGGCTGTGGCTCATACCGGTAATCCAGCTATATGGGAAACATAGGTAGAAAAATTAGTCTGAGGCTTGCATGGTCAGAAGAAGGAAACCCTATCTGAAAAATAAAGGACTGGGGGCATGGGTCAAGTGATGGAGCACTTGCTGAGCAAGTACAAGGCCCTGAGTTCAAACCCACACACACACACACACACACACACACACACTCGTGCATGTGCGCAAAATACTTTCCATGTTCATGGATCGGCAGAATATTGTGTTTTTGGCTTCATTACAGAAAGTGATCTTAAGATTCAATGCAATCCCCATCATGAAAGATCTTGAATAGTCAAAGTAATCCTGAGAAAAAAGAATAACGAAGGTATCACAATGCCTGATTTCAAATTATACTATAGAGCCATAGTAACAAAAACAGCACTGTACTGTCACAAAAACAGAAAAGTAGATCAATGGGAAAGAGTAGATGACTCAAAAATAAACTCACGCAGCTACAGTCATTTGATTCTTAACAAAAGGGACAAAAAACCCGAAACTCTTTAACAAATAGTGCTGGGAAAACTGGATATCCACCGTAGAAGACTAAAACTAGATCTCTATTTTTTACCCTGTATGAAAGTCAACTCAAAATGGATCAAAGACCTTAATATAAGACTCCAACTCTGAAACTATTAGGTGAAAACACTTTAATTTACAGGTACAGGCAGTGACTTTCAGGATAGGACTTCAACAGTTCAGGAAATAAGTGGAAGAATTGACAAATAGGATTGTATCAAATTAAAAAGCTTCTGCACAGCAAAGGAAACAATTACCACAGTGAAGAGACAGTCTACCAAATGGGAGAAAATCTATGCCAACCATTCACCCAACAGGGGATTAATATCTAAAATATATAAAGAACTCAAAAAATTAAACACCAAAAGAACAACAAACAAATTCAACAAACAAATGGGCAAAAAACCTGCACAGACACTTTTCAAATGAGGAAGTAAGTACAAATGGCCAATAAATACATGAAAAAAATTCAGCATTTTAAGCCATCAGGGAATGCAAATCAAGACTCCACTGAGGTCCATCTCATTCCAGTCAGAATGGTCACTGTCAAGAAAATCAGAATCAAATGCTGACAAGGATGCGGGGGGAAAGAAACCCTTATACGTTGTTGGTTAGAATATCAATTAATCCAGCCACTATGGAAATCAGCATGAAGGTTCTTCAAAAAACAAACAGACAAAACCCCCCATAAAAACAGAACTACCATATGATCCTGTTATACCACTCCTGGGTATTTATCAGAAGGAATCTAAGTCAGCATATAATAGAGATACCTGCGTACCTATGTTCATTGCAGCACTATTCATTAACAGCCAAGTTATGGAATCTGCCTTGATGGATAAAGATAATGTGGTACATATACATAATGGAGTATTATTTAACCATAAAGAACAAAATTATGTCATTTGCAGGAAAATGGATGGAACTGGTTATCATCATGTGAAGTGAAATAAGCAGAACCAGAAAGACAAACATCACATATTTTCTCTCATATACAGAATCAAAATTTAAAAAAGACATAAAAGTAGAAGCGTGACTACTTGGGAAAAGGGTCTCACCAAAGAAGGAGGGGAGACAAGAGAGATATCTGAGGATGAATATGATCAAAGTACATTATATACATGTATGAAAATGTCATAATAAAACCCATTATTTTATATAATATACACTAATAGGACTGGAAGTGTGGTTCAAGTGATAGAGTACCTGCTTTGTAAGCACAAAGTCCTGAGTTCAAACCCCAGTCCTACAAAAAAACAAAACAAAAAACAAAAAAACAAAACAAAACAAGACAAAACAAAAAAACCAAATATACACTAATAAAAAAATTTGGGCCCGGCGCTGGTGGCCCATGTCTGTAATCTTAGCTATTCAGGAGGCAGAGATCAGGAGGATCACGGTTTGAAGTCAGCCCAGGAAAACAGTTTGCGAGACCCTATCTCAAAAAAACCCATCACAAAAATAGGGTTGATGGACTGGCTCAAGGTGAAGGGGGAGGGTGGGGTAGGGTGGGGGAGGGAGGCAGGGTGGAGAAATGACCCAAATAATGTATGCACATGTGAATAAATGAAAATAAATAAATAAATAAAAATAAATAAAAGTACACCAAATTAAGTAAAAAAAAAATTGGTATACTCATATAAATGGAATATTATTTGGCCTTAAAAAAGAAGGAAATTCTGCAATGTGAGACAATATAGGTGAACCCTGAAGAAAAACAAGCCAGTCACAGAAAGAAAAATATTGTATCATTCTACTCACGAGGTATCAAAAATAGTCAAACCTGGGGTTGGCACAGTGTAGTTCTCAGTGGTAGAGCATGTGCTTAGCATGTGAAAGTACAAGTCCCCTCCTCCACTCAGGAAAAGTCAAACTTTTAGAATCAGAGAGTACAGTGCTAGTTACTATAGCTGGGGGTGGGGAGCTGGGAAACTGCTAATCAATGAGCAGTTTTATTTAAGCAAGATGAGTAAGTCTAGAGATCTACTGAACAACATTGTGCCTATTGTTAATGGTATTTTGTTAAGTGGGAAGATCTCCTCTCATGTGTTTTTACCACAAAATAAAATAAAAAAAAAAAAAAAAAAGAGGACAGCTTCTCTTTTCCCCATCCTTAATCCTGCTGTCCAGGGCCTGTGACAGCTCTCCCTGGCCTTCTGGGCTGTGAAAAGTGAGCTAGATAGAGCTGTCTCTCTGGGAACCATACCAGCTCAGTCAGTATGCCTTCTTTGGACTTCTTTTACATGATACATTTCAATAATTTTAATTTGAAATTATGATTACTAGCAGTGAGGGTAGAAGAAATTAAAATGGCTGACTTGCAATTCCATGTATGTGCTTGTATAAGAGAGAGGGGTGGAGAGCAGGAGAAATACAACTGAACCTGTATGTAAGTAGGCCAGTGGTTGGCAAACTGCTGCTCATTGACTAGCTAACTGCTTTTGCAAATAAAATTTTATTGGAACATAGTTATACTTATTTATGGATTGCTTATATTGCTTTTGTGTTACAGTGGTAGAGTTGAGTAGTTGTGCCAGAGACTATAAAAACCACAAAGTGTAAAATGTGTACAGAAAAAGTTTGCTGACCCCTGAAATAAACTAATGCTATTTGCTAGGGGAAAGAACCCTTTTCTGTAGAATGACCTTAGTAGGATATGCCTGACTAAAGATTACTTATAAGAAATAAACCCATAATCTATGAAACATGGCTCTCAAAAGACTGCTAAATAAGCCATACAACTCTCTGGGGGAATATGGTAAAGAAGATGCTTTGCAACTTAAATGCTTGTATTACCTAATGCTTGTATTAGGTAATAACCCATAAAATGTTACTTGAATTCTCTGTTCTTGAACTCTGTTCTGCCCTATTGCTCTCTCTTTTTGTTACCAGAACCCACACTACTTTGTTCACTGTAGCTATAGCAGTATGCTGAAGATCATGCTAAGCATTTTTTTTTTTGATGGATTCTAAACTCATCTTATTGCCCTTGTATTTCTCTGTGTGAAGTTAGGTAAAAATTCTGTTTTGTTATGCAGTGACTATCTGTGCTCCACCTTTGATATTTTTTGTTTGTTTTACTTCTAAAAACTTTTCCCTAGATCCTGCTTTGCTCAAACTCAGAGTACCTGGGAATTTATGGTTCCATGACAGCCCTCATCCTATGACTGCCATGTCTAGGAAAATGAAGACTTTAGCTCCCTTCCTGAGGTAGGGATGATTCTGAGGCATAACATTCACTCTAGAATTCCTCGCACGATCAGGTTGAAGCTACCCTTTGCAGGACTTTGACAGCTCAGCCTTAATTGGCTTCCTTGTTTTACTGTCCTGCTTTTCCCTCTTTCTTGCTAGTTTCCTCTGTTAATACTTCCTTAATAATCATTGACACATGAATCTTTTTCTTAGGATCTGCTGGATGGGGAATATGACTTCTGATATGTAAGGGAAGAATTATTACAAATTTACCTTTTAAAATTGATGTTGAGATTGGCAGTCATAGCAGCTCCCCCAGCTCTGTTTGCACACATACCAACAGTAGCATCAATGATGGTTGCAATGGCACCTCCGTGAATGAATCTAGTTATAATAACAGAGAAAGAGAAATGTTTTCAGAGTTCCAGGAAACAGATAGCCTTTCTCTCTCTCTCTCTCAAAATTACTTAAGTATCTTCATAAAATTCAGAGTGGTTCAGTTACTCCATGTTCAATCTATTGAATGTCAAATATCCATGTCCCCAACTTTGTTCATAGCATAATAGGACAGTCTTTTCTCTTTTTTTTTTTTTGGTGGCCCTGGGGTTTGAACTCAGGTCTTCATGCTTGCTATGCAGATGCTCTACCACTTGAACCACTCAGCCAGCCAGGACAGTCTTGTATCTATAATGAAACTGCAACTTAACAGTAATCAGATCACAGCATGCAAAAAGCTAAATATCACTTTCACATAATGTGAATTTTCAAACTATACACATTCATTGTTTAAAAGTTTAGGAAATACAAATAAATAGAAGAAAAAAATTTAAGGCCCATAATGTAAAGTCAGTGGCAAGCCACTGATATACATATTAACGATATTCCCTCAACTTATACACTATTGCCATGAGTCTTCCAATAACATATATTTATTATATGATTTATTATATTAAATTTTTTATGTCTAATTAACAATATAATGACTTTTATCTATTATAAACATCTTTCCATGTCCATAAATATGTATCTATATTACCATTTTAATGCTTTCTCTGTAGCCCCTGGATACGTGAGGGTGCTCGGAGATAAAAACGTTTCAAATTCACACTGTTAGGCTGTCGTTCTTACCCAGGTACTCCTTGTAGGTGAGGACCTCCTTGAAAAAAGCAAACTACCATTTTTTCAATATCATTACAGAACATCACATATTCAAAGCCCAGGCCATCCTCAAAGCTTCTGGTGAAATTTTGGGCCTGTGACATTTGTTCTTCTTTCATATGCTTTGAGTCTGTAGGGAGATGAGGTAGATAGGTACAGGTAGGTGAGAAACAGATATGGGAGAAATGCCCTGACAGTGCTAAGTACATGTTGATGAATGACTGATTAATATGTCAAGTGAGTGTAAAACTGAAAGGAATGAGAGGGTCTCGAGAAACAGAATATAAGATTCTAACCTTGTCTAACTGGGGACAGAGTAGACACAAATGAAACCAAAACAAAGAATTTATGCACACCACAGCAATAGGAAGTATAGTATATAAATGCCAATTAAACTAAACAAAATGATAAGGTACAGAAAGAAATTCTTCTTGGAGTAAGTGTGGTTTAAATGGTTGTTAATGAATAATTGAACAGCAAGGAAAAGGTTTTCCTGGCAGATTATTAACTTGTTAGTTATACTGAATCTGAAACAGGGCCAGTTCAGTCCAATATTCAGTGTGACTGAAACTTTCTTAAGTCCCCATCCTGAAGGTAGACTCATTAGAGTTCATGAAATCAAATTAGTGGGTAGTAACCAGCTTTTCTTCTTTTGGTGGTAATGGAGAATGAACCCAGTGTCTCATCCGCTCTACCACTTGAGCCATGCCTCCAGCCCTTTATTGCTTTAGCTTGTTTCTCAGATAAGGTCTCATGCTTTTGCCTGAGCTGGTCGGGACAGGGATTCTACTTTTACCTCCTGGTAATCAGATTTTTAAAAGAAACAGAATACTGCACATATATTGTGTGAAAGTACCTGGGCACTTGTTTAGCCTTTTTATTTATCTAGGTAGAGTCAAAATGTAGTTCACTTCAAAATACAGATGGAAGCTTCTGTCTTTGTCCTTTCACATCTACATATTCTTAGCTTTCTTTCATAGGTCATCATTATTTGCTGTGCAGAAGGCTGTATTAAGTTTCTTTCATTTTGACTGAATTTCCATTTACAAACTTGGGGAAGGCTATAAGCTGAGAAGACAGAGGAGAAGTGGAGAGGACAGGTAGGAGGCCTTTTACTTAGGGCATGAACTTCCTGGGAGTGGGAGCTTCTTTTTCAGACTTTGTACGCCTAACAGCTGGCACAGAAATGCACACACTATTATGTACCCAAGCAGTTGTGAATAAAGTAATGATTTAGAGGGCCAGAGAAATTTACATTCTTCTTCTAGCTCTGGCCTAGAACTAACTTTTTTTGTCTCATAGTTTATCTATATAGTGAGGATCTTAGAAATCTCTAAGATCTCTTCCAACTCTGACATAGGAGAAGACAGACATCTCCAGGATGAAGTAATCATGAAACCCTTCTAAGTTTTCACTTAAGAGTTTAAAATTTCTGGGAGGCTGATATAACTAATGTACAATATAAGCTTAATCAGAATTGTCACTATGAATTCTCCCTGTATAACAAATATATTCTAATAAAAAAATTTATTAAAAAAAGTTTAAAATTTCTGGTCTAGATTATCAAACCTTGAGGTTATCTCATAAAAAGGAGAAAAATAAGGACAGTGAAACAAATTTGTTAGAAACACAGATACTCAGGATGGTGGAACAAATTTATTAGAAATATAGAATCTCAGACTCTACTCCTGATCTACTAAAGCAGAACCTTGTACCTTTTCTTTTTTGTAGTACCAGGCTTTGAACTCAGGGTCTACACCTTGAGCCACTTCACCAGCCCTTTTCTGTGATGTTTTTTTTGAGATGGGGTCTCACAAACTGTTTTCCCGGGCTGGCTTTGTACAGTGATCTTCCTGATCTCTGCCTCCTACATAGCTAAGATTACAGGCGTGAGCCACTGGCACCCAGCAGAAACTTGCACTTTGATGAGGTTTCACAAGACTGGGCATAAGACTAGAGATGGCAAAGGAAAAACATGATCCAATTGGCATTAAGAATAAGCATGGAGGCAGGAGAGTTACAGGGCCAAGGTTACACTATAAAATGAATAATGCCACCAAATTTGGCATTTAACTGAGTAGTGGCTTCTGTGAAGACATTTTAGTAGAGCTAACCTGGTAGAAGCCAGATTGCACTAAGGTAAAGACATTTAATTAATTGTGTGATATGGTAATAGTTAGAATGGAATTAGCAATACAAATTGCATTTTAAATTATTAAAAAATTTTAATGAAAACATAATAATTATTCTGTGGTGCTGGGTGCCCTATCACCGAGCTGTACCCCCAGCTCTAAAACCTTAATTTTGGGACTGGTGGAGTAGTTCAAGTAGTAGAGCAGCTGCCTAGCAAGGATGAGACCCTAAGTTCAAATCCCAGTACCACAAAAATAAATAAACAAACAAATAAATACAAACTTAATTTTTTTGGAGACAGGGTCTTGTTACATAACCAAGGCTAGCCTTGAACTTGCAATTCTCCTGCCTTTGCCCAAGTGCAGGTATTATAAGCATGTGCCACAATGCCTGGTGTTAAAAATTAATTTTTACATAATTTAACAGTTAAACTCTAGTCTGGGTGCTGGTGCCTCATGCCTGTAATCCTAGCTACTACAGAGGCAGAGATCAGGAGGATCATGGTTCAAAGCAGCCCAGGCAAATAGTTGGTGATATTCTATCTTAAAAATACCCAACACAAAAAAGGGATTGCGGGGTGGCTCAAGTGGTAGAGTGCCTGCCTAGCAAGTGTGAGTCCCTGAGTTCAAACCCCAGTACTGAAAAAAAAAAATCTAATAATAATTAAAAATACAAATTGTTTTTCTTCATTTATAAAATAGATAATTCTCAGCCCTACACTGAAGAGTTTAAAAAAGAAACTTAAGAACTTTGCCATTTTTTCCTGGTAAAAGTTTTACTTTTGTGTCACTCATTCCTCTAGCAAGTACTGAAGTACCTACCATGAGGAGATTGAGGCACTAGAGTGAAATGCCTTGCCCATGGCCACACAGTTTTAAGTTGTGCAACCAGAATTTTAACCTAGAAATTTGTGGAACTAAATTCCAACCATTAAGTTGCCATAAGATTCAATTATGTTACCAAAGGACAGTGAAGAAGAAAGGAGTGCTAAGCACTGAGACACAGGGGCACGCCAACATTAAAAGTTTAAGGATGAAGGGGAACTGACATAAGAAATTTAAAAAGGAGGGACCACTGGGGAAGGAGAATATAGTATCCTGGAAGCTAAGTTCAAGGTAGAAGAAGTTACCAGGTATGCCAAAAGCTGGGAGGTCACTGGATTTAGCAACAGCAAGATCTCTGATGCTCTTCACAAAAGCAGTTTTTTAAAACCCGTTTTTTTTTTTTTTTGGCAGCACTGAGGTTTGAACTTAGGGCCTCAGGCTTGCTAGGTAGGAGTTCTTACCACTTGAGCCACTCCGCCAGCCCATAAGAGCAGTTCTGACGGAAATTTTGAGAGTCTGACTGAGATGGGTTCCAGAGAGACTGGGTTGTGGTCTGTTTGTTGTTGGGAAAGATCTAGCAGGGAGCAATGTCCCTCAAAAGGGAGGGGATGCAGTGCTCAAGTAGCTTCCCCTTGGGGATGGATAGTTCATCCATGCAGGACAGAGCAAAACAGCAGGCCGAGGTACAAAGAGGAGACATGAGGCAGGGAGAGCTTGGAAATGCTCTTTGGCTGGCTTTTATTTTCTCTTAGTGAAATAGGAAGTGAGATCAGCTGATAGTGAGAATGGGAAAGAAAGAATGAGAAGAAAAAGGTAGGAAGTAGTCATTTAGGGGAGCTGGAGAGTCAACAGACTCAGGAAATAGGAAATATGATTGTTAGGCAACATTAAGGGCCAATTTGAGGTCATCTTTTAAGAAACCATCAAAGTCATGAAACGACTACCTAAAGATCTGTTTTGATGATTAAAAGACAATGGGTAACTCAGATAGGTTTGTAAAAGCTCCATGAGAGCAGGGACTCTATGGTGCACTCAGGTCTATTTCAGGAATAGAATGCTTGGCACAGCACAGATGTCTAACAGTTATTTATTGAAGGAATAAATACTGTATATTGCAAATAAGAAAGCAAAAACAGTTTTGACAAGCTGACTCTAAAACTGAAGAATTTATTAGGTATATATTTATGCATGAAGATCTTCAGTTAGGTTTAATAAGTCAGCCACATTGGTGCAGAAGATGGGAGACAAATAGTTCACAGGAAAGAAACAGGATACTGGTTGACTGTAAATGAACAGTGTGATGTGGCTTTTGTTCTAAGCTTTGTTCTGGGAAGCGTATACTAAGAAGGATAGACTGCCACATGTCCTGAGAAAAGCAACCAGGCATGTGAGAAGACTGAAACACCTTCTGGGAGAAATGCCTAAAAACAGAGAAGACTGGACAGGCAAAGAGAACTGGCAGGTACACAGGAATGAGATGTTAGTATCTAATTCCTACTCATAAAATGATGACAAGTGAGCTTGGTGCCAGTGGCTCATGCTTGTAATTCTAGCTATTTGGGAGCTGAGATTGGGAGGATCATGGTTCCAGGCTATCCTAGTCAAAAAAAAAAGACTGTAAGATCCCCAACTCAATGGAAAAAAGCTGAATGTGGTGGTATGCGCCCATCATCCCAGCGATGATGGGAAGCATAACATAGGAGGATCATAGTCCAGGCCGGCCTGGCAACAAATAAGACCCTATCTACAAAATCACCCAGAGCAAAAAGGGCTGGAAGCATGGCTCAAGGAGTAGAGTACATGCCTCAAAAGCACAAAGCCCCGAGGCACTGAGTTCAAATCCCAATACCACAAAAAAAAAAAAGAAGCCAAGTGAAAGAATTATACTCATTCTGTATGTCCCCAGAGAGCAGAACTCAATGAATGGGTAAAACTCCCAAGAGAGATTATAGCTCGACATAGCATAAAGAAATCACTAATAATTACAGCTGTCTGAAATGGAAGAACTCCCTTTGTCCCAAGTACCTCATGATTAGTGGGGAAGGAGTAAGTTAAAACCTGATGACTGGTTGTAAGGGTTATGCAGAAAGCAAGAGAAAACAGAAAAAGGTTAAAGTAGTTGGTTCCTAATCTTTCTTCCATCCCAAAACAACTGAGGGAGCCCACTGCCTTCTCTTTAGTAGCAATAGCTTATTAGGAGAGTAACACTGCGAGTTCCATGAGGGTGGGTACTTCATCTATTTTCTTCATTGCTCTATTCCAGTGCTTAGCATAGTGCCTGCCACACAGTATGTGCTCAATAAATATTTATATAACCAAGAAGTCTGGTGACTCAAGGGGAAAGAAGAGGAAGAAGTACTGGAGGCTAAGAATCTTCCTTAAATGATTCTTAGCAGCCCCAGACTAAGTGATTTTCTAGGTCCTAATTCTTGAGATTCTGTTTATTTATCCTGATTTGCTTTATCTAATTAATCTATTTGTCTCAATAACTGCCCACCCTTATTAAACTCTTTAAACTAGTGGTTCCTAATAGTTTTAGGCTGTGAATACCTCTGAAAATCTTATGAAAATTACTGACCACGACATAAAAAATGGACATTCCTTGTGGGAAGAGAGACTACTAATTTCTAAGTGCTTGTTGGAAGGTAACTATTTTGCATTAAGGGCAGATGCTACTTTTTTGTTTTTGTTTTAAGAGCAAAAGTCTAATTTAAGGTTCTAACTAGGCATTATAGCACCTTCTGAAGTGGAAATAAGTGGGCATTATTATCTCCATTTAGAGAGAGCAAAAAAATCAAAGATAAGTTCAATTAGACTGGCTTTTGAAAAGTGGAGATAAAACCATAAACTGTTTTTTTTTTTTTTTTACTGGTACTGGGGCTTGAACCCAGGGCCTCAGGTTTGGTAGGCAGGTGCTCTACCACGTGAGCCACCCCGCCAGCCCTGTTTTACATTGGGCTTTTCCAAGATAGGGTCTTCTCATGAACTAATTTGCCTGGGCTGGCTTCAAACCATGATCCTCCTTTTCTCTTATTCCTGAGTAGCTAGGGTTACAGGCATGAGCCACCAATACCCAGCATAAACTGGTTCTTTAAACAAGAACTTTCCATTTCTAGTTAGTCAGTTGTTAACATCAATCAATCAATCGATTCCTAAATTAAGGCTAACTGCATCTGAGCCAGCTGCAAGTTTATCAAAAAAAAAAAAAAAAAAAGACTCTCAGCAGCTACACCAAGAGTCCAGATGATTCAGATAAAGACTCAGTTTTTAGAAACACTGACAAACAGTAGTTTACTCTTCAGTTATTGCAAAGTCAGTAAGCCAATGCAGACTTGGAAACAGAAGTTTTCCAATGTGTCTCTTTTAAATCATAATAGCAGATGTGTTTTTTACTACCAGACCCAAGAAGGAAGGTGAAGAAAGTAATGGGCAGAAGGAAAGAGGTTCACTATTCTCTGTAATTCATATACAAGGGATGTGGCACCACATTTTAGGTGAGAGAGAAAAAACAAAAGTAGAACATCTTGAACAGATTCCCCAGTAATTTCCTCCTTCCCTCTCTTCCTACAAATATTCATAAGCACTTAAGATGTACTAGAGACTTTTCTAAGCATTAGAGATACAGTAGGGAATAAAACATGCAAAAATCTTAAGAGAAAAACCAACAAGTATATAAAACACTAAGTATGTCAGATGGTGATGAGTGCTATGGAAAGAATGAACACTATATACATATTACCAGGTGAAAGAAGCCAACATGAAAAGGCTTCATAATGAATGATTCCAACTATATGGAATCATTTGGAAAAGGCAAAACTTTGGTGAAAGCAAAATGATCTGTGGTTGCCAGGGGTTCTGGAGAAACAGAAGTAGGAACAGGAGGATGAACAGGTAGAGAACATGATTTTTAGGGCAGTGAAATCATTTACTTATGATACTATAATGATAGATATATGCCACTATATATTTGTAAAAGCCTATAGAAAATATAATACAAAGAGGGAACCCTAATACAAAACTATGCATTTTGGTTAATAACAATGTATCAGCATTGGTTCATCCATTATAATAACTGTACCAGAATAATGCAGATATAAGTAATATGGGAAATTAAGGGCAGGGAAGGAGTAATGAGTATAAGGGAATTCTGTACTTTCCACTCATTTCCCCCCCACCCCATTCATTTTTCTATAAACCTAAAACTGCTTTAAGAAAGTGTATTTAAAAAATCTAAACAAACAAAACAATAGGAAATGCAATGTGTGTGTGTTGGATAGTATAGGGTGGGTTGCCTTTGGGGCTTACCATCTGGAAGTTTTTACCTGAGCATTCTAAGCTTCTCAGCTTAATGGAGCCAGGTATTAGAACAAAAGGAAAACTAAGATTAGTGACAACAGCCTCAAGACAGAGAGGTGATTAGGTGTGGGAGGACAGAGGATTCCTGTGCATTTTCTTTACTCCTACCAATGGTGATGAAGATGCCAGGGTGGGGGCAATTTTATTCTTGACAATAGGATTTATGTCTCCCACAATTCACAAAATTGGTTGAGATTTCTGGCTTTTAAAACAGAGAACTACAGAAACTTCTGTACTATACTAATTCTATCTGTCTCTCTTTTTTTTGAGATGGAATTTTGTTGTGCTGCCTAGGCTGGGTGATTCTGATTCTCCTGCTTCAGCCTTCTGAGTAGCTGGGATTAAAGGTACAAGATTCTATGTCCAACTGTTTCTTCTCTTTTCAAGTAATAACTAGTTCTTTGATCTGTTTTTTTTGTTGTTGTTGTTGGGACTGGGGTTTGAACTCAGAGCTTGGCACTTACAATGCAGGTGCTCCACTGCTTGAGCCACACCTCCAGTCCATTGTGCTCTGGTTATTTTGGAGATGGTGTCTTGTGAATTATTTTCCCAGGCTTGCCTTGAACTGCAATCCTCCCAATCTCAGACTCCCCAGTAGCTAGTATTACTGGCGTGAGCCGCAGGTACCAGAGTTTGATCTGTTTTATACTTGATGTCCAAAATATTATTGTTGGGAAAGTGACTATTCCTACCTAGAAAATGGGTTTTGAAATCTTCAAATTTTTGAAGAGGGGTTTGTCTGTGTGAAGGTAAACGTTCCCAGGAGCCATCTTCACATTTCTTCATGAACTGGTCAAAGAGGAGTCTTAGGTCCTTGCTCCAGCTGGGGTTGGGGACAGCAAAGTCCTTATGAATGACTTTCTCAGAAGAAAATGACCTCTAAAATACAGAGAGAAAAAAAGGAAGAGTAATTGGAGGTGCATCCTATTTCATAACATTTTCTAAAACTATCTATCTTTCTGCTTTTCTTCCCAGAAGGCTATCATTTCAAAATAGAAGGGAATTTTAGAGAGGGTAAACAATTCTTCTAAGATCACCCAACTAGCTACTGTCAGAGTCTGCATTCACCTCAGGTGAGCCAAGCACCATACCTAAAGAGAACTGAAGAACAGATACTATCCTCCACATAAGAAGTACACCAGGGGGCTATATCCAGGAAGCCAGAGCACACTGGAATGGTATTCAGCTCACAGTGAGTTCTTTGACTTGAATATTGATTAATCAAGTAGAAATTAGCTAGGGGAGAAAAGTGGTGTAGGCAAAGGAACACTCCAAATGCAAGGATGTATGAAATAGTTTTGAAGGGTCTTAGCACAACTCTATGAAGTAAGTACTAATTGTTATCTCCATTTTACAGACGATGAAATTAAGGTCTGAAAGAAGTTAACATTGTCATAATGCAAGAGGAGAAGCAGGTGCTGAGATGCAGGCAAAGCCTCAAAGCTAAATTAACTGGTCTAAATTGTACCTGCAGGGCTCTCAGTATTTTTTTTTCTTCCTTTTGTTCTTTTTTTTTTTTTTTTTTAAATGTTGGTACTGAGGTTTGAACTCAGAGCCTCAAGCTTGCTAGGCAGTTGCTCTATCACTTGAGCCACTCTGCCAGCCCTGCTTTGTGTTCAGTATTTTCAAGATAGGGTCTTGTGAACTATTTGGCCGGGGCTGGCTTCAAACTCTGATTCTCCTGATCTGTGCCTCCTGAGTGGCTAGTATTATAGGCATGAGCCACCAGTGCCTGGTTTGTTGTTTTGTTTTTTAAACAGGGAGCAACATGATCAGATCTGCTCATAACAGGAAAGGTAATGGGAGTGACCAAGATTGGAATTTTTGGAATCAGAGGGTATTGGTGCAACTTAGGTGAGAAATGAGAGCATGAAGTGGAATTTGCATAAGGAGAAATACCATAGCCAGTCCCTGGTTTCTGACTCAAGTAGTTGGGTCAATGACAGAACCAATAACCAAGAAATAGAATATAAGAGAAACAGGAGGAGGCTGGGGGAAGTGTGCTTAGTGTCACAGCTACAACTTCCACCCATATTTCTCTGCAGCACTGGGTACTACTACCACTCTACTCCTCAGGTAACAAGTGGAAAGTTGCAGGGGTCCTGGAGGACTTGGAAAACAAAGTGTGACCTAGCTAGGAGCATAATTGAGCAAATACAGAGAGCAGACAGGAAAATTGAATTTTTTTGACCACTGCAGAATCTTGGAACAGTTAAGATCACAGAAGTATCAACTGCAGCATTCTGCTTCTACTCATCATTATCAATTCATTCAGATGCAATGTAGCTATGACACTTGGACCATACCCTTGAAACCCAAAACAGGCAGGTTGCACTTACTGTAATGTAAGAACCAGTCACCTTCTGACACCTGGGCTGGCTCCAACGCTGGGTTGGTAGGAAGAACAGAGGGAATCTGTCTCAAGAACTCTACAGAATTAAAAACTTCCTGGCTGAACAAAACAAAGTCCTGACTTTGTGGTATCAACAGGAAAGGAGGAAAACCAGCAGGGATGAGACTATTCTGCCTTTGGCCCAATTGGTAACCTTGTTTTTTATGGCTTTCTGATTGGCTTACCCCTTCAGAACCTAGCTCAGAAAATCAGGGAAAGAAAGACAAAAACCTCCAACCATCTTTTCTTTTTTTTTGGCAGTACTGGGGGTTGAACTCAGTGCTAGAGAGACAACCAACTGAGCCACACCCCCATTTCTTTTTGCCTTAGTTAATTTTTAGATAGGGTCTTGCTTTTTGCCCAGGCCAGCTTGGACCACAATCCTATTCACGCTTCCTGCGTAGATGTGATGACAGGTACGCGCCACTATGCCCAGCTTCTTATTTGTTGATATGGGGTCATATCAACTAACTTTTTGCCTGGGTTGACATAGATCCATGATTGTCCTGCTGTCCACCTCCCGAGTAGGCCTAGCTCCAACCATCTTTTCTTTTAAAAAATTTTTTTATTAGCATATATTCATTGTACAAGGGGGATTCATTGTGCCAATTCTCAATAGCCTTACATCTCTTCTCCTTGTAATGATAAAATTTTGATGTATTTTCTCCAAATTTTTTCCCTGTGCTTTCATTCACTTTATTGTGCCACAATTTGGACTGGTAAGAAAGTTTATTTTGTTTTTCTGGCAGGTCACTGGCAATAAGAATTTTTTTGCATAGTTCTAAAATGTTAAATGTCATTCATTTGACAGCATATTTTCTTTCTTTCTATACTGTTCATTTCCTCAGAGGTGACCATTTGTTTTTGTTTTTTTTCCACTGAGAATTTTTTAATTGAGCATATTTATTGGTCAATTAGTGTTGTAATTTGACACACAGAAGTGGAACTACTAATTTTAGTTTGAGGCATGTTGCCTTTGTTACCCTAAAGACTATAATGCTGTGGGAAATAAAACAATGAAAGTTTCGGCAACTAAGATATCTGAAGTAAATGCATTTGTAAATTCACAGTACAAACTATGCTTGAGAGGGAAATGTTAGAGATAATCATTACCTTTTGTTGTTCTAAATAGAGGAAAGGTCAAGACTGATCTTTGGTAATACAGTCCTAAAGGTGGATTTTATGAGAAAAGTTATGACTTTGTAAATGTGTCTCCTTTTAAAATTACTGAACAGAAAGAAGCATGACTTATAAAGCTTGAAAGTATTAATACTTAAATATTCTCAGCACAGATTACAAGACACCAACGTATAATTAAAGGAATTAACTCATCTTTGTTGTTGTAAGATTAATACATTTTCTTTTTCCAGTGGGTCAGATGGTACATGATTAATAACTAATGTGCCCTCATTATTCTCTAGAAGAAAGCTACAATAGCTTAATAGAGATGCCATACTCACCTCAATTCTCAAAGTCCTCTAAGTACTTGCTCAATACAGAGCTGTTTCCTTAGTAATTTATAGTACACACAGTACACAGATATTTTAATTTTGCAATTTGAATTTTGACCCCATTCTTTCAAATTAGACTGTAAGCTCCTTACTTTCTTTTTGTGTGTGTGTGTGTGTGTGTGTGTGTGTGTGTTTTCGTTTGGCAATACTGGTGTTTGATCTCAGGGCCTCAGGCTTGCTAAGGCAGGTACTCCACCACTTGAGCCACTCCAACAGCCCTGTAAGTTCCTTGAGAGGAAGAATTTTTTTCTTTATCTATATATTATCATCAGTGGCCAATAATGCCTGGAACATTGCTGAAGCTAAACCAATATTAACTGACTACATCTATGACAGGGATATAAGAGTAGGCAATATTTGTTCCAGGCACTTGCATTATCTCATTTAGTTTTATAGCAATCTTTAATGGTGAGGAAACTGGCTTAGAGAGGATATAATAGCTGATGATCAGAACCCTTCTAACCCCTCCCAGCTTGGCTGTCAGGCTCAGAAGTAAGACAAGTCAGAGACCGCCAGGGTTAGACCATTGGAAGGGCAGTGCGCTCTTGAGGTCCTTAAGGGTTGAGTCTGACTGCCTGCTCTGGCACGTGTTTTCTGGGTGACCTTGCCTAACCTTTCCTTAATAATATCGGTAAAAGTGCTGACCAGAGTTAAGCATCCTGCACGTTGCTCCAACAGTCACTTTCCGGTCTAGTTTCTTAAGGACTGAACCACAGGACTCAAGTAATCCTAAATCCGGTTACCATGGCTGCCTTCGCATGCTCTTGGTATTGTGCTGACTGAAGGAGTGGAGGAACAATTAAACCGATCCGCAACCCAGGGTGCTTCCCACAGAAACTCTGCCCCGCCACACCGCGCCAGGACTCACCCACACCACTCCGGGAGGGCCGCGCGGGGCTCCGAGCGTGCGCAGGAGTGCGGCGCAGCTCCTCAGCATGGCTCCGAGCGGCGGCTGACCGGCTACGGCCTTCACCCTTGGGGCAGAAAAGGCAGACACGCCTGCTCACCGGATTTAACTGTGGAGGCGGTCTGAGGGCGGAGCTTGGCGGCCTGAGGGCGGAGCTTGGCGGCCTGAGGGCGGAGCCTGGAGGACGGAGGGCGGAACCTGGAGGACGGAGGGCGGAACCTGGAGAGCGGTGGGCGGAGCCAGGCAGACAGACCCCGGAGTGACCGCGGGCCTCAGCCGGCCTTCTTACTTCTGGCCCTGGCATTTTGGTTCCGGAAGACTTTTTGCCCTCACCGCGGGCGGGAGCCACGCGAGGTACAGGTTTTGCAGTTGAGCTGCGAGTGGAAGATTGGCTGTCATCCCGTTCGTCTGTTGCTGGCCGACTCGGTGCTTCTTGTTCCCAAATACTTAGTTCTTCATCCACAGTCAAGTTCCTCGGGCGGACAGGAGCGCAGACAAGAGTGGTATAAATAAGACGTTTTCATGTAGGTCATGGGAAATCCCTGGGATCAGGTTGATGATATTAATTTATAGCTGCTGGATGCGATCATGTCGCCCCCTTCCTAAGTATTTGCTTCTTGTTCCCAAATACTTAGTTCTTCATCCACAGTCAAGTTCCTCGGGCGGACAGGAGCGCAGACAAGAGTGGTATAAATAAGACGTTTTCATGTAGGTCATGGGAAATCCCTGGGATCAGGTTGATGATATTAATTTATAACTGCTGGATGCAGATCATGTCGCCCCCTTCCTCAGCCCCCATGCGCTTACTCGGTGATTTAGAGTGAGGACCCTGTATCTTCGGTGCCCAGCTATGAGTCCCTACCTCAGACTTTTTCAAATAGGAATTGCAGGGACATTTGAAGGATGAGGGAGGTTGACTGACTGCTAAAGGTTCATTCTAGCCGAGCAGGTGGCTCACGCCTGTTATCCTAGCTACTCAGAAGGCAGAGATCAGGAGGATCGCAGTTCGAAACCAGCCCCAGGCAAATAGTTCCCAGACCTTATTTCAAAAATACCCAATACAAAACAGGACTTGTGAAGTGGCTCAAGTGGTACTGCGCCTGCTTAATAAGCTTGAGGCCCTGAGTTCAAACCCCTAGTACACTCCCACAAAAGAATAAATAAAAATAAAGATTCATCCCTAACTTTGCTGTTGGACCTGAGCTCAAACTATCCCCTTTACTGTTTTATTGACATGTACAAACTCTTCAATTGCTCCTGAAAAGAATGCACATCAAGTTAACTATTGCAAAAACCTTCTCGTTAAATGAACGTGCTCCCAAGCCAGTGGTTTAATGGTGTTTGCTTGTACAGCCTCATGGGAACCTGAGTGTTAAATTTTCAAGAATTTGGCTAGTCAGTTCTTAAACATTGGCATTAAAATTAAATTATATATCTGAGTGAGGTCGTGTGCTCCAGTAATCCCAGCTACTTTTGTTATCGGCAAAAGTATCGGTGTTCTCAGAAGACCTTGGTCCTTGTGTTCCAAATGGAATAATCCAAGCAGAACACGCGGATGGGGTGAGGTAGTGTAGCTTATTTGAGGGAAGGGGAGTCACCTATTCTGCCAGGTGAGGGAAGGGAAGAAGAAGGGTGAGGGTCTCTTGAACTTGGAGGTGGGGAGACATTATGTTATCACCTGGCTCCTCTCACCTGTGGGCTAGGGCAAGGAGCTCTTTAGCCAAGACTGGGAGCAGTCCCAGACCATTCCTAACCTAGCCTGCCTCACTTTGGAGGCTAAGGCAGGAGGATCTCTGGAGCCCAGAGGTTCCAGGCCTGCCTGGGTTACATAATGAGATCCTGTCTCAAAACCAACCAACTAACCAGTGACAAAAACCAAAGTAGATATTGTATCCTCTTAATTGCTTTGCTACATTTCACTATTTTCTGTGCTTTTGAAGTTATTTGCCCTTATTGTATTTGTACAGTGGGAATTACCAATCAGAAAGAGATTCTTCAAAAATAATGATAATTTAAGAATAGCAGAGCATTGCAGTGGGGACTACACATACTATAAAGTAAACTATGTGAGTATTCAAAGAAGTTGAGGCAAGGAAAAGTTTTATAGTTTTACTTTTTGGGGTGAACCCAGGGCCTATATACATGCTAAGTAGGGGCAATTACTTAGCTGAGCTACTCACTGAGCTACACCTAGGAGAATTTGTTTAAAGGCTAAAAGAGAGAACTTTAGTTAAGCTACTTGGATGCAAAGTTCATTGGTTTTGGAGACCTAAAGCAGGAGAGACCTCAACTCACTGGTAGATGTGCTAGGAGGTAGGCAAGTGTCCTGCCTAGGGCTTGTTGTCTGAATTGCTTCGTCTTAAAGAATGCTAAAGATAAACTTCCGTACAGAAATATGTGCATACACATATACATTGAGTATAAAATGTGAGTTGAGTATAGAATGAGAAGGAATTCTCAGGGACTCTAGAAAGTCCTTGATGAAGTATTATGTAAGACAGGTGGGCATGAGTTTTCCCCTTTCATTATTTTCTGTCTCTAATTTTGTGTGGATCTGACAAGAAGTTGACTTATCTCCGTTGCATCAGACAACTATAGAACACTGTATGTTATCTTCCAACTTCACCCCACCCTAAACCTCGCCGCTCACACTCACGCTTCGACCCCCACCCCCCCCTCCCGCCCCCCCCCCCCCCCACCCCCCCCCGGCCGCCCCGCCCCTCCCCCCCCCCTCTCCCCCGCCCCTCCCCGCCCCGCCCACCCCCATTTCAGTGACATTGAGGGGTAGCTTGATTGTAATTTTTTTTTTTTTGGTGGTACTAGGGCTTCCTGCTTGCTAAGCAGGCTTGGATCACTTTGCCAGCCCTTTGAGAGCTATAGCTTGAAATCACACTGGTTGAAAGTATTCACTTCACTCAGATATCCGCATATCAGGACGCATGCCGCGTTTGCGCTGCCTGTGTATTAAAGCATTGTATCAGCTGTCCACGTGTCTAGTGGCCTGTCCGTGATAAGACTCAAGAGACGCTGTAGGTTGCCAAATCAGCTCTGGGATCAGGTTGGAGTAGTGTTGGAGTTTAATAGGAGCGTGCTGGGTCAAGGAGTGTTATATAGGATGGGTGAGATTGGCTTGTGCCCGTAGTTTGATGTCTTTTTTTGCCGGATGATTTGGTTTGTGTTTGGGGTTGACTGTAATTCTTGGATCTGTAAATACATAGATTTTTTTGGGGGGACAGGGTCTTACTATGTAGCCCAGATTGGTCTTGAACTCATGATCTTGCCTCAGCCTCCCCAGTGCTGTGATTATCGTTAAGCACAGCCATGTCCACCAGGCATATAGTTTTTAATAGTTCAATTTTTTAATTTATGTTTAATTTTTAGCTGTTATTTCTTCAATTATATTTTTAGTTATACCCTCTCTTTTCTTTGAGGACTCTAAATACTTCGTATATTAATTAGGTCACTTACAATGTCTCAGACCTCAATGATGCTTTTTTCTTTTTTTTTGAAAGTTTAATTAAGGGGGGGCTGGAGGTGTGGCTTAAGCGGTAGAATGCCTGCTTTGCAAGTGTGAAGCCCTGAGTTCAAACCCAAGTTCCACCAAAAGAATGTTTCATTAAAAAGTTCTTGCTGGGAGTAGTTGCAAATAGCTATAATCCCAGCTACTCAGGAGACAGGGATTAGAGGATTATGGTTCAAGGCCAGCCTGGGCAAAAAGTTATTGAGAGCCCATCTTAATAAACAAGCCAGTCATGGTGGCATACACTTGTGATCCCAGCTACAATGGGAGGTGTAGGTAGGACGATCATGGTCCATGGTTGGCCCTGGGCAAAAAGTGTGAGACCCTATCTGAAAAATAAAGCAAAAAAGGTCTGGGGGTATGGCTCAAGTGGTAGAGTACTTGCCTAGCAAGCAAAAGACTCTGAGTTCAACCCCCCCTTCCAAATTCTCTCTATTGTTTCATTGCACTATGCCTTCAGATTGACTAATCATCTGAAATATTTAATTTACTGTTGATCTCATCCAGTGTTTTTCACCTCAGACATTGCAAGTTTTATCTAAAAGTTTTGCTAGGGGTGTGACTCAAGTGATAGAGCACTTGCCTAGCAAACTCAAGGCCCTGAGTTCAAACCCCAGGACTGCCAAAAAAAAAAAAAAGTTCTGTTATCTGAGACCTGACTCAAGGCATCACAGCAGTCCAGATTTGGTCACTTGTCATGATTCCAAACAGCAGAGAGTGGTGGTGAAACAGGAAAGGAATTTATTTCAGTGTGACTAACGTTGGGAAGGACAGTAGTCTCATGACCTCCTAAGAACTGCTGTTGGGGTGCTAGCAATAGCTCCAATATTAGATAGGGGAAAAACCAAAACCAGGATGAGGGGCAGGAGGCACGTTTAGTTAGCAAGGGTGTCAAGCATGTAGCCGTCTTGGTTAGGCTCTGGTCTGGTTGATCATTATCTTAGGTCCAGTCTCGTTGGGTTCTGATGTCAACAAAGAAATCGCTATTGCTTGGGGGGCACTTTTGGTTCGCACCACAGGGCTTACTGTTCCTGGAGTTTGAGATAACTTGGGAAAGAGAAATAACTGAAAGAGAGAAGAGGTCAAAAATAAAGATGTAGTCTCATAGGGCAATAATTTGAGGAGCAATCCAAAGAAGATGGAGGCTATCATGCACGAAGATCGTCTCAACTTAGCCTAGGTTTTAAGCTTCTTTTATCTTTGGTAGGGGGCTGGGTTGCTTATGTTAGAAAAGTATTGATGAATGGAGATTTCTAGGCATTGTTCCAATGGTCTGGAACAGGACATTGTAAAAGTTTGTGCTTGATAATTTATATTGGTCATGATTTTCCTATAAATCTCAAATCCATTTTAGTTACTCTTGGTGTCATCAGCCTTGAAGGGGGAGAAGAAAGATTAGGTAAATTTAGGGCTAATCAAGCTTGTATTACCAGTATTAGGCAAATATTCTTTAAAGGAGAAATCTGACCCAAAGTTTAAGGTAGCAAAAAGAGACAGATGCAGTATGAAAGCAGAGATTCCAAGCTTTTTATTCTGTTTTTTAGTC